GAGACAGTAGCTAGCGGGGTTGGCGAATTTAAATTATGGGAACTTAGTTCTGGGAACATGTTGCTAGGCCGTCGGCAGAGTTCTGTTCTCTTGTTGGTCTAAAATCACATGACGTGCCTCCAGCCAATAATTATTTAGTAGCATTGACACAGGCTTACTCACGCACGCACACACAGAATCACACATACATAGGCCTACACATAGTGTCTTAAAATTATTGTGTAATTATTTAAAGTATATACATGCATAATGGAGAGAGCAATACTAATTTGTTACTTAATTTGTGACTCATTAGGCTACTTTCTGATTTCAATTGAAAACTCTGATATTAAAACAATCTAAAACTATTATAAATAAACACATTGATTATAAAAGTTAATATTGTTCCTAGTTTAGTCTAGAAAAATGTGTATCTATTGAAATGAAACCCCAATAATTCTTCACTCAAGTAACAGTATATGAGTTTACCGTGTGTTTTACATCTGAAGTTGATTCAAGTAACGTAGGTGAGTCTTGCCGTGTGTTTTACATCTGAAGTTGATGCCCTGGAGAATCGATGACACCAGGAAATAAAAACCAAATCAATTTACAGACCTCAAACTTTTGATTACTTTTAGAATTATTCATGAGTGGCCTCCCAATTTTGTACCCACTCTACCCATTCACCAAAACTTATTTACATCAAATATTTCATGCCATTCGACTATTATTGTGTTGTTTCTTGAGTTCATTGGGTGATCTTAACAGTCACATAACCAAACATAACGGAAGTCTTAAGACAGTTAGGGTGGTTAAGACAGGTGAGTTGGGGTGGTTAAGACAGGGAGTGGGCTAGGGTGGTTAAGACAGGTGAGTTAGGGTGGTTAAGACAGGTGAGTTAGGGTGGTTAAGACAGGTGTTAGGGTGGTTAAGACAGGTGTGTTAGGGTGGTTAAGACAGGTGGGTTAGGGTGGTTAAGACAGGTGAGTTAGGGTGGTTAAGATAGGTGAGTGAGTTAAGGTGGTTAAGACAGGTGAGTGGGTTAGGGTGGTTAAGACACGACAGAGGGTTAGGGTGGTTAAGATCGGGTTAAGAAAACGGGCTTCTCCTTGATTACGTCATCACATAGTCCTTGACAATGTTCTCAAGCGCTTGTAAAAACCGTGTAACGGTGGTCGATACAATTTTCAATTTAATTTCTCAAACTTGATTGATTTAAGGCTAGTCCCACTCACGTCGAACTAGATTAGACCAGCCCCCCCCTTCTCTCCACGCCCCCCCCCCCGCCCACCACCACCACCAACACACCGCCAGGGTCTTGCTGTAGGAAAGCTGGGGTGAGGGGGTGATTGGTTGTCTGACACACATTAGGTGGAACAGGCCAGAATCTCTGAGTGTTACATGTGTTGTCTGACCAGCCGCACCCTGCATGCACTGTGGCTGACTGTGGGGTGGGGACACCAACTTTTGGGGGACAACAACTTTTGGGGGACTGGGGACAACAATTTTTGGGGGACTGGGGACAACTTTTGGGGGACTGGGGACATCAACTTTTGGGGGACTGGGGACATCAACATTTGGGGGACTGGGGACATCAACTTTTGGGGGACTGGGAACATCAAATTTTTGGGGACTGGGGAATCAACTTTTGGAGGACACCAACTTTTTGGGGGACTGGGGACACCAACTTTTGGGGGAGTGGTGACACCAAATTTTGAAGGAGTGGGGGCACCAAACTTTGGGGGACTGGGGACACCAACTTTTGGGGGTCTGGGGAATCAACTTTTGGGGGACACCAACTTTTTGGGGGACTGGGGACACCAACTTTTGGGGGACTGGGGACACCAAATTTTGGGCGACTGGGGACACCAACATTGGGGGAGTGGTGACACCAAATTTTGGGGGACTGGGGACACCAACTTTTAGGGGACTGGGGAATCATTTTTTGGGGGACACCAACTTTTTGGGGGACTGGGGACACCAACATTTGGGGGACTGGGGACACCAAATTTTGGGCGACTGGGGACACCAACATTTGGGGAGTGGTGACACCAAATTTTGGGGTACTGGGGACACCAAATTTTGGGGGACTGGGGACACCAACTTTTGGGGGTCTGGGGAATCAACTTTTGGGGGACACCAACTTTTTGGGGGACTGGGGACACCAACATTTGGGGGACTGGGGACACCAATTTTTGGGCGACTGGGGACACCAACATTTGGGGAGTGGTGACACCAAATTTTGGGGTACTGGGGACACCAAATTTTGGGGGACTGGGGACACCAAATTTTGGGGGTCTGGGGACACCAACTTTTGGGGGGACTGGGGACACGAAATTTTGGGGGACCAGGGACAACAACTTTCGATATAGGACTGGAAAAACAACTGTTTCAGAAGACAGACAACATCAACTTCCGGTGGAGGACTAGGGACGCCAACATCCGGTGGATGTCTTTCCATGGAGGCCAAAGCCTCACTGCAGGAACGTCGCCAGCCCGCCCCGTCAGCCAACGATGTCATTATAAATGCTGACAGTGTTTAACCGAGCATTGCTCAATCTAATTAGCGCCAGCCAATCTGTGGGAGGAGGGGAAGGGTGGAGCGCCACTCGCCCCAACCCCATGTTCTCCCCTCTTCCCCTCCCCTCAGCTGAGAGGAAGCCCCCTAGAGACGTGATTTGTGAAAGACCGACCGACACGTCTTCAAAGCGAGGCACATTATTGTTTTTTTGTACAAAATCCCCCCCCTCCCCCTCCGCCATCCATGAATGGGATTATTTTATTCAGTTCAACTCTCCATGCTAATACGTAGTTTAATTAGTTTAAATCATGTGCATCAAATTAAATTTCTTTCATCATCAACAGAGGTGTGGACAAACTATGGTCGATGTATGTGGGAGTGGACTGCGTGTATCTTGTTCGCTAGCCATCTAGCAAAAGTTGACGGTGGGGGGTGGGGGGGGGGGGGTTCAAAATAAATGTCAGTGGTCAGCTACAGACCACTTCAGTATTTTGGCCTTTAAGTAGCCGGTGAAGTATATGTTTTATAGAGCAAACTTTTTAAAACTTAAGCGCAAAAAAAAAGATTTCTTTCTTTGCTTTATAAAAAATAATCCTCGCTTTGTGAAGTTTTGAAGAGGCAAATCCCACCTCACCCACCTCACCCCCAGAGGGGAGATGTCGAGAGGCAAATCCCACAACTCCTCCTTCCTGTGTTTGCTGAGGAAGGCCGTGGACGTGAGCCTCCATGGGACGTCAATCAGTCAGTCATTAATCTTGAATTGCTTCATCAGTCCAGTGCGCCCCACGTCATTTTGACAGCAAGGGATCACGTACTCGATACCATCCGGGCGGTCCTAACTGGGTCGATACTGGCAGTTACGATACCACGTGAACAGTCCACTATGTCAAGTTTTTAACGTCAGACAAGTTTTTTTTAAACAAGAATTCGCTACAGGGTAACGGTTGCGAAGAAAAATGGAGAAAATGGGTTTGGTATCGATTCTTTAATATCATTATGGTATCGAATCCTTCATGTTAAACACCCCAAACGGACCTTAATCCTCTGACGTCATCACGTGAGCTCTCAGCAGACGTGACCAATTGCGCTGCGCACTTGTGTCAGACACAAAAATTCATCAATTTCAAATTGATCACATGACGCGGCCCCCTTCCGGTGAGAAAAAAAACCCCAAAAACAACACATCCATCAAAAGATGGCTGTGTCACGCATGGGCTTATGGCCATTCTTTGGACTGGCCAAATGTTGGGATACATACCTTATGATAACTCAGTACAAGAGATGGCAAAATGTTGGGATACATACCTTATGATAACTCAGTACAAGAGATGGCAAAATGTTGGGATACATACCTTATGATAACTCAGTACAAGAGATGGCAAAATGTTGGGATACATACCTTATGATAACTCAGTACAAGAGATGGCAAAATGGCCAAATGTTGGGATACACACGAGTTGTTAACGCTGTATGAAAGATGGCCAGATGGCCAAAGACAGAGCTCACATGGCCCAACGTGAGTTATGTGACAAGAGATGGCGAAATGAGTGTTAAGATGATGTAGCCGGCTGATTTAGCCGGCTGATGTTGTAGGTAGATGGATACGAGACATAGAAACAGCTCTAATTTCTAAAACCAAAACAACTGGACCTTTGAGAATACCTGCGGCTCCAAGACCTACAGACATACTCCCCCTTCCCCCCCCCCCCCCCCCCCCCCCCAACCCACACCGACCCGTTCTCGCCATATCCTGCAGTCATATCCACCGGCCGGCCGAAATAAATGTAAAGTCTGCCCTCCAGTACGTCCGCCTATATTTGGACACATCGTCAAGGCGAGCAGGAATGTCGGAACATTATGACGACGTGGGGAATAACTCTCTTCTCACGCGAGTCTATGTAAATATATCCCGCAAGGGGGGTCACTCGCGCAATGACGGCCCTTTAGAATTGATCAAGCCATGAATGGGCGGACAGTTGGAAGATTTTTATAAAGGGCTTTTATGAGGGCTACAAATGTAAAGTCGATATTTGTTATCGCAATTCAATCCCCAGGACAAGCGGGCAGTTATTTTTTTTGTTTCCACGATTCGTTGTCCAGAACATGCGGGCAGTTATTTCAGCTGGGTGGGTGGGTGAGACGCCTGGTGATTGGTCAGCGATAAAGTGCTGGCATTGTCTTCCTGGCTGTACCTCTTGGTGTAAATTGCGCCTTTATTCGTCCCATATTCTTTTATTTAGGAGATAATTAGATTCAACCAATCAGATCACGCCTACTATAATGTCATGACACCTCTCTCATACAACACAAATCAGTTACTTCATGTTTTCGTGCCGCCATCTTGTTTTATAAGCTACCGACGGATAGAATTGGCGCCAAATCTTGTCATCACGGCAATAATCCTAGCTCCGAATGACCACGTGGTGTCAGGGGGAGGTAGTTTATGAAACAAAGATGGCGCTCTCGTCTGTAATCATGGAACAAATGAGCGGGAAATTCACTGGGGCGTGACGAATCTCCGAAAGCCAATTTAGCTCTGGTCAGCTTGATTAGCCCTAGAGGTCACGAGTTTTCGCGCATCGCTGATTTGGGCCATTACGTCAGTGCCCAAGTAAGTCACGTGACTCCTTAATTTTTGAACGTGTCTAATGAGAGACTAGATCCAGGATTTGATGTGGTACCCGTGTGGTGCTGAGTTTAGACCTTGTGGTACCCGTATCATCCGTATGGTGCTGAGTTTAGACCTTGTGGTACCCGTATCATCCGTATGGTGCTGAGTTTAGACCTTGTGGTACCCGAATGGTGCTGAGTTTAAACCTTGTGGTACCCGAATGGTGCTGAGTTTAGACCTTGTGGTACCCGTATGGTGCTGAGTTTAGACCTTGTGGTACCCGAATGGTGCTGAGTTTAGACCTTGTGGTACCCGTATGGTGCTGAGTTTAGACCTTGTGGTACCCGTATGGTGCTGAGTTTAGACCTTGTGGTACCCGTATGGTGCTAAGTTTAGGCCATGTGGTACCTGTATGGTGCTAAGTTTAAACCTTGTGGTACCCGAATGGTACTAAGTTTAGACCTTGTGGTACCCGTATGGTGCTGAGTTTAGACCTTGTGGTACCCGTGTGGTGCTGAGTTTAGACCTTGTGGTACCCGTATGGTGCTGAGTTTAGACCTTGTGGTACCCGTATGGTGCTGAGTTTAGACCTTGTGGTACCCGTGTGGTGCTGAGTTTAGATCTTGTGGTACCCGTATGGTGCTGAGTTTAGACCTTGTGGTACCCGTATGGTGCTGAGTTTAGACCTTGTGGTACCCGTGTGGTGCTGAGTTTAGACCTTGTGGTACCCGTATGGTGCTGAGTTTAGACCTTGTGGTACCCGTATGGTGCTAAGTTTAGGCCATGTGGTACCTGTATGGTGCTAAGTTTAAATCTTGTGGTACCTGTGTGGTGCTGAGTTTAGACCTTGTGATACCCGTATCATCCGTATGGTGCTGAGTTTAGACCTGGTGGTACCCGTATCATCCGTATGGTGCTGAGTTTAGACCTTGTGGTACCCGTATGGTGCTGAGTTTAGATCTTGTGGTACCCGTATGGTGCTGAGTTTAGACCTTGTGGTACCCGTATGGTGCTGAGTTTAGACCTTGTGATACCCGTATCATCCGTATGGTGCTGAGTTTAGACCTTGTGGTACCCGTATGGTGCTGAGTTTAGATCTTGTGGTACCCGTATGGTGCTGAGTTTAGACCTTGTGGTACCCGTATGGTGCTGAGTTTAGATGTGGTACCCGTATGGTGCTGAGTTTAGACCTTGTGATACCTGTGTGGTGCTGAGTTTAGACCTTGTGGTACCTGTGTGGTGCTGAGTTTAGACCTTGTGATACCTGTGTGGTGCTGAGTTTAGACCTTGTGGTACCCGTATGGTGCTGAGTTTAGATCTTGTGGTACCCGTATGGTGCTGAGTTTAGACCTTGTGGTACCCGTATGGTGCTGAGTTTAGATGTGGTACCCGTATGGTGCTGAGTTTAGACCTTGTGATACCTGTGTGGTGCTGAGTTTAGACCTTGTGGTACCTGTGTGGTGCTGAGTTTAGACCTTGTGATACCTGTGTGGTGCTGAGTTTAGACCTTGTGATACCTGTGTGGTACTAAGTTTGGACCTTGTGATACCTGTGTGGTACTAAGTTTGGACCTTGTGATACCTGTGTGGTACTAAGTTTGGACCTTGTGATACCTGTGTGGTGCTGAGTTTAGACCTTGTGATACCTGTGTGGTACTAAGTTTGGACCTTGTGATACCTGTGTGGTGCTGAGTTTAGACCTTGTGATACCTGTGTGGTGCTGAGTTTAGACCTTGTGATACCTGTGTGGTACTAAGTTTGGACCTTGTGATACCTGTGTGGTACTAAGTTTGGACCTTGTGATACCTGTGTGGTACTAAGTTTGGACCTGGTGATACCTGTGTGGTACTAAGTTTGGACCTGGTGATACCTGTGTGGTACTAAGTTTGGACCTGGTGATACCTGTGTGGTGCTGAGTTTAGACCTTGTGATACCTGTGTGGTGCTGAGTTTAGACCTTGTGATACCTGTGTGGTACTAAGTTTGGACCTTGTGATACCTGTGTGGTACTAAGTTTAGACCTTGTGATACCTGTGTGGTACTAAGTTTAGACCTTGTGATACCTGTGTGGTACTAAGTTTGGACCTTGTGATACCTGTGTGGTACTAAGTTTAGACCTTGTGATACCTGTGTGGTACTAAGTTTGGACCTTGTGATACCTGTGTGGTACTAAGTTTAGACCTTGTGATACCTGTGTGGTACTAAGTTTGGACCTTGTGGTACCTGTGTGGTACTAAGTTTGGACCTTGTGATACCCGTATGGTGCTGAGTTTAGACCTTGTGATACCCGTATGGTGCTAAGTTTGGACCTAGGATTGAACCAAGTTGTAGGTGGAGGTTTTCTCAAAAAAAGTTTTTTGACTGTTGTCAACATTTGTTTCTAACCATCTA